CTAAAATGGAATTTTGTTAATTCCGAACCAAAGTTTAACCAAACCACTGAAATACTTTCACATTCCTACAACAATAAAGATACCACACAACTAACTAGTGATATTAGTCGCGTAGGTATTAAATTAACATGCATTATTTAACAATTTAAACACAAAAAAAAAGATACTCCAAGGTATTATTTGTACAATTATAAGATACAATATTCAAATTCCCCATTACTTAACGATATTTGGTTCAAGAAATATAAAAAGTTTAATTATCTGCGTATACATAATAAATGTTTGCATTACTAGATGGCGGTAGCATCAGAATAAATTTTTGCTACATCAAAATTTTAAAAGTTTTGGGATGTACTTAACGCACCAAATACATATTACTTAAAACTAAAAGTTAAAGAAAATTTATACATATCTGTTAAAATTTGTCGTTTCGACTAAAGAACAATCTTTCCTTGTTCTGTTTTTTTATTGAAACTGATCACGAAACTAGCCGTGATCTTTAGTTAACTTTCATTCACTTTAATTCGATTCTAAAAGTATCATGTTTAAGGTTACCAGATTTCCAGTGAGAAAAACTTGGGCATTTTTATTTTCAATGAAACTGTAACAGCCCTGAAACAATTTTAATTACAGTAACACACATTTTCCCATTTGTTAAATGAGCTGATGTTATAAAATCAAAGACAAGAAAATTAGTTAAAAGATCATATACCTAAAAATAATAATAAATGAAATAAAAAATGTGCCTAACTTCCTAAGTTTTCTTTAATCTACTCAAAAGAAAAATGTTGCTTTTTCGTTTTCATTTACGCGGCTAGGCAGGTCTTCAAATCTGAATTCCTGCTGCTACCCAATGACAGGTTAAGTTGAGAAAACATAGCAGAGACGGATAGAAAACTGTAAAATTTAAAAGAAGTCACGTATAATGACAAACCGTACATATTAAACTCATATTGAAGTACGGAGAATTTAGGACAGTTTAATACTTTCACTGTTTCTGTTCGGGACAAAAAAAGTAAGGCTTAAAAATAGGACGATCTCAGTTTTATTTGAGCATCTGGTAACCCTAATTATGTCTTTTACTATACAGCTAAACAACGGACAGTCGTCACAATACTCAATACACTTTTAATACGTAATGTGATAAATCAAGATTGTGTCGAATATATCTCGGAGCGAAAATCTAAAAAACAAAAATTAAATATAAACAAATGCCACATATCTATATTAATTCATGTTATTATATGCTGAAGTAAACCGGACTCAAAACACTAGATAATGTAAGCCTAGATTTTGCATTACTCAGAATAATGCAATTTTATTGGCTTGTTTTTTTGTCATATTACTTAAGAAGTTAAAATACAGGGAAGTATTTCCTTTTAGTAACAACCACAAGCAACCTATAATCTTACGTCCATTATAAGTTTAAAAGAGTTATCATGCGTCTTAAGTGTGTACTGGTTTGTTGTGTGTATTAATGTTTGAATAGTGCTCAGATTGTTAGCCGTGTTGTAAAGATTGAAATCAAATCAAATGTTTAGAAGTGTTTCTAGATATTGTTTAAAATAGTTTATTTAGTTCAAGCGTAGGCCTAACTAGCTTGCAGGCTGCCTAGTCTAGTTAGGCCTAACACCGAAGTTGAAAGAATATCTGTGCATTTTATTTTGTTTAACAGTTGTCGTTTGCTTGCCTTGACGAGTAATCCTAAATTATATTGTTATTTCTTTAAACACATAAAACTGTTTACAATCCATTAACAACAGTGACACGTGACTTACCAATGTTTGGTTCTCCAACTGAAACCTTCTACATTGTTTCTCGAGTTGCTGAATGTTTTTCAAAAGTTCTCGAATTTTCGTCTGTAGTATCTGTTCTTCACCTGTTTTCTTCTGAGGGAATCAAAATTTAAAAATTTTGAACATTCTAGGGAAAGGTTATTTACCTTAACAAAGATAAAGATTATTAAGTTTATCTGTTTTCTTGTTAACCACAAAGTTGCATGGGTTTTTTTGTGCGGATATTGAACCCAGTATTTCAGTGTTATAAATTATAAATCTTACCGCTTATCAGCAGAAATTGCGATTCTTAGGTAGAGCTAGAGATTTATAAACTTCTTGTTAAAGCCGCGTAGGTTATAGAAAACATTAGAGTTAACCATAGAATTACAAACGAAATATTATTCATAATACCTCAGCGGTAAGTCTTATGGCTTATAACACTACAAATTAAATCTCGATACCCGCGATGAGCAAAGCACAGATAGCCCATTGTGTAGCTATGTGCTTAACAACAAAAACAAACAAAATCAATTGGATATAAACCCCCATTAGGCTTTTAACTCATTTTTCTACTTTTTTTTATATACCGAATTGTTGAGGATCCACGACATTGTTGGTTACAAGGTTCCTAATAATGTAAGAATTACACACAAAACATTCAACCAAAAATACCATCAATACTGCAATTAATCCTTGTAATTACTGCTGGGATTCCATATGTGATATATATATATAATGAGTGATTTCATCTAATTTATTTGTTCGTTTCTTTACACTAAGTGTTGTAA